TAAATGGGCTCAAAGACAAGAACCACATGGTCATCTCAATAGATGCAGAGAAGGCCTTTGACAAAATTCAACATGCATTTATGTTCAAAGTCCTAGAGGGAATTGGACTGGAGGGAACATACCTCAACATAATTAAAGCCATTATAACAGACCCACAGCCAACGTCATTCTAAATGGAGAAAAGCTGGAAGCATTCCCATTGAAATCAGGAACCAGACAAGGATGTCCACTATCTCCACTCCTTTTCAACACAGTGCTTGAAACACTTGCTAGAGCAATAAGACAGGAAAAGGAAATTAAAGGAGTACTAATTGGAAAAGGAGAGGTCAAACTATCACTTTTTACAGATTATATACTATACCTAAGAGATCCCAAAAGTTCCATCAGAAAACTCCTAGAAATGATCAACCCTTTTAGTATAGTGGCAGGTTATAAAATCAGTCTACAAAAATCAGTAGCCTTTCTATATACCAATAACAAGAAAGAATACAGGGAAATGCTCCCATTCAGAATTGCTGCAAAAAAATTAAAATATCTTGGAATAAGTCTGACCAAAGACACCACAGATCTCTACAATGGAAATTTTAAATCGTTAAAGAGATTGAGGAAGACACCAGGAAATGGAAGGACCGCCCATGTTCATGAATTGAAAGAATTAATATTGTTAAAATGACCATCCTACCAAAAGCAATATATAGATTCAATGCAATCCCAATCAAAATCCCCATGACATACTTCACAGAATTAGAAAAGTCCATCCTTAAATTCATATGGAGGCATAAAAGACCCAGATAGCCAAAGCAACCCTGAGCACAAAGAGCAGTGCTGGGGGGGATTACTATACCAGATCTCAAAGGATACTACAGAGCCATAGTCATAAAAACAGCATGGTACTCGCACAAAAACAGACACGTAGATCAATGGAACATCACTGAAGATCTAAACCCAAGTACATGCAATTTCGGCCATTTGATATTTGACAAAGATGCCAAGAACACACAATTGAGAAAAGACAGCATCTTTAAAAATGGTTCTGGCAAAACTGTATCTCTGCCTATAGAAGCTGCATATTTGCACGTGGAAAAATTAAACTAGATCCTTATCTTTCACCTTGCACAAAAGTCATTATCAAATGGATCAAAGACCTCAATGTGAAACTGGAAACCCTGAAACTATAAGAAGAAAATATTGGCTGTAACTTACAGGATATAGGTGTAGGAAAGGGTTTTCTAAATCAGAAGTTGATCAGGAATTAAGATCAGCAATCAATAAGTGGGGCCTCATTAAACTAAAACAAAAAAGTTAAGAGAAAACCCACAGAATGGGAAAAAAAATCTTCACCAGTGACACATCTGACAGAGGTTTAACAGAGAATACATAAAGAACTCAAAAAACAAGGAATTGAGAAACCAAATGTCCCAATTAAAAGATGGGCTAAAGATCTAAACAGAAAGGAAGAAATAAAGATGGCTAAGAAACATCTCAAAAATTGTTCAGCATTGTTAGTAATTAGGGAAATGCAAATTAAAACCACCCTAAGGTATCACCTTCAGCTAGGATCAAGAGAAAAAATGATGCCAGATGCTGCCAAGCATGTGGAGAAAGGGGAATGCTCATTCACTGCTGGTGGGATTGCAAACTTGTGCAATCCCTATTGAAAACAGTGTGAAGATCTCTTAGAAAACTAAAAATGAACCTACCATATGACCCGGTTATACCCCTGGCTGGGCATGGTGGCTCACACCTTTAATCCCAGCACTTGGGAGGCAGAGGCAGGCAGACCTTTGTAGTTCAAGGCCAGCCTGGTCTACATAGTGAGTTCCAGGACAGCTGGAGCTACAGGGAGACCCTGTCTCAAAAAGACAAAAAAAAAAAAAAACCAAAAAAAACCCTAAAATCTACCATATGACCTGGTTATACCACTCCTTGGCATATACCCAAAGGACTCATCCTATTATAGAGACACTTGTATAACCATGTTTGTTGCTGCTCTTTTCATAATAGCTAAGAGATGGAAGCAACCTAAGTGTCCCTCAACTGATAAGTGGTTAACAAAAATGTGGTATACTTACACAATGGAGTTCTATTCAGAAGGAAAGAAAGATGAAACAATGAAATTTGCAGGTAAATGGATGGATCTAGAAACTGTTATACTAAGTGAAGTTACACAGACTTAGAAAAACAATGTATGTTCTCCCTCATATGTGGCTCCTAGCATCAAATCCTTTTAAATTCCAGGTCCTTTTAATAAGATGATGCTATACAGCAGTCCCTTCTGCATGAAATAACTACCATCATCATAACTTCGGCTGAGCCTGATCGCTAAACATAGTCACAAATGGGCTTGTTGATGGTTGTGCTCATTCATTAAAGGAGAGCCAAGCAGGGTCACTGGACCCTCACCTGAGTATCCAGCTACTCTTCCCAGCCAACTAGTCCAGCCTTGGAAGACAAAAGAAAAATGAGAAAGATCCTAATAGAGAGATGCTTTTGGAAGCCCTTGTCAAGAAACTCTAATGGACGCTCATGAACATTTGAAAATTGCCCTGTTCTTTTTTCTAGTTCCCTGTCTAGAACTTGTGATGCTATTTACTCTTGCCTTTGCTTCTTCCCATCTCCTGTTCATGATTCAAATACTTTCTTTTCCTCTTAGAGACAAGAGTTATGCAATTTGGGTGTCTTTTAGATAGACCCACTGAAGGGGTACTCCAGTTGCCTCACCCTGCGTCCCTGTTCAGCATGGAAGAAGCCAGAGCGGTCTGCATCCCTAGTCCCTATTGGCAATCTGGGTAACCCCTTCAGAGGATGTCATGATACGAATAGGAGGTAGGAATTGGCTAGGCAGTAAAAAGGTAAAAAGACCACAAAGAGCCGGGGGTGGTGGTGCACACCTTTAATCCCAGCACTCGGGAGGCAGAGGCAGGCGGATCTCTTTGAGTTCAAGGCCAGCCTAGTCTACATAGTGAGTTCCGGGACTGCTGGGGCTACAGGGAGACCCTGTCTCAAAAAGACCAAAAAATTATGTAAAGTTATTTTAGAAAATATTATTTTTATTTTATGTGTACTCATGTATTGCCTGCATGTAGGTAAGTGCACTCATGTCGTGCAATGCTCACGGAGGTCAGAAGAGGCTGTCGGATCCCCTGGAACTGGAGTTACGGACAATTTTTAAGCTGCCATGTGGGTGCTGGGATTTGAACCTGGGTCTTCTTCAAGAACAACCAGTGTTCTTAACCACTGAGCTATCTCTCCAGCCCCAATAAAAGTTATTTTATATCCATCAGTCAATAAATAAACGCTGGCATGTATTATATTGCTACATTGTTTTATTATTGCCCGGTAAGTCGCTTCTCCACAGTTTACTCTGGTCCTGAGCGCAGCCTCTGCCCTACCTCCACTTCTGCTGTTTGTCCAGTCTCCTCCCAACTGGTCCGCCCACTTGAGAGGGGCTATTGGATCGAGGGAGCTGTCCACGCCACTTGCAGTGTCGGGCACACCCATGTGGTGGCGCAGTAGCGTAGCACAACCAATCTAGTTGGTTCTGCGCAGGCGGCACCGGAAGTTTGAGTGAGGGCGGGATTGAAGGCCGGAAGTGTGGGCGCCGGGGCCAGCGCGGGGTGGAGGAGTGGGTTGGGGTTGGAGTTAGGGTTGGGGGAGGACCGGGAGGGGCGGCGTTTGGGGTACTGCTTCAGGCGGTAGCCATGCGGCGGGACGTGCGCATCCTGCTGCTCGGCGAAGGTAGGCGTAGTGGCCGCAGGTGAGCAGGCAGACCGGCGGGGTCGCGGTGACCTCGGCCGCCGGTATGACTCCTGTTCCCTCCCCTGCGCAGCCCAGGTAGGGAAGACATCTCTGATCCTGTCTCTAGTTGGAGAGGAGTTCCCGGAGGAGGTGCGCTGGCCGGGCCGGACTCCCAGGGCAGGGCTAGGTCCCGGTCCGCGGGGCTCCAGGGTCAGCCCTGACCCACCTGTTGCAGGTCCCTGCCCGCGCAGAGGAGATCACCATCCCTGCCGATGTGACCCCGGAGAAAGTGCCCACCCACATCGTGGATTACTCAGGTAGCGCCAAGCGTCGGCCGCCAGCCGGCCTGCATTGAGCTTGCAGCAAGTCTGCATTGGGTCTGCAGCGGCTTATCTTTCCCCGTAGAAGCGGAGCAGACCGAGGAGGAGCTTCAGGAGGAGATCCACAAGGTGTGCATCTTAAGGACCCAAGAGTACTCAGTTCGATTCAGTGGTCTCCACTTGCTGCTACGTAGGTTTAATCGGCTTCCTCTTCTGTGGAGCTGGATTAGGTGATGGGCTGTGCTTGGCCCTGATAATTCTGCTGTGACCTCTCTACATGGAATTGTTGCCTCTCCCAGATGACATCCTTCCCTGAAGCAGGACAGTACTGCTCAGGGAAAGGACCTCCCTCCTGTGCTCTCTTTTCCTGGGGTCTGTGGGAAACAGATATACACAGCCTCCCCTTAAATACTGTACCCCAATCCTGTAATACCATGGTTCTGTACTCCAATCCACTACTGTGCATCCCCAGGCTGTGGTGGGTGCCCTCTTGGTTGTTACCAGAGTTACCTTGTGCTTGGAGGTGGCCCTGCAGTCTTCTCCGTGTCCTGCAGGTGTCACTGCTCAGGATGTAGGCAGTGCCATTTTGCTTCTGCCTACAACACCCTGGCTACTTATACTGAGATAAAAATGAGAAACCCACGTCCGGGCTATGCCCTGCATGTTATTTCTGTGCTATAAGCACTTGAGATAGGGACGTGCTGACCAGAATCATAGTGCTTGGGTCTTGTGACACAGCTGGCAGAGAGGGGCTTATTCAAGCCAAGGTGGGCTTCCCAGGCCTCAGAACTCCAACCTATCCTGCTGTGACCACCTGGGACATGCTGGAGTGGCCTAGGCTGTCCATAATGAGCAGGTAGCCTTTAATCACCCCATTTCTTGCTTTTTCTGTAGGCAAATGTGGTGTGTGTGGTGTACGATGTGTCTGAGGAGGCCACCATTGAGAAGGTGAGCAGGAGGGGGCCTCCTTGTCCATTCTCAGTGCCTGCTGTTGGTGATTGGCTCAGTCAGCCGCTGTCCTTGGTACAGACCTGGGCAACACACCTTTGATATCCAGGTGGATCTTCATGTCCACTCTCATATTTGTTGAGTCTTTCAGGGAGTCCTACAGCTTTGAGCTGGGGATCATTCTCCTGGGACCCCACCTACTTGGGGAGATTGCAGATCTTGGGATCAGGCAAGTCCCCATCCGCCATCTGTACTTTCCCACCAGCTTCATCCACAGACCCACAGCTGGCCTCTAACTCTCCTCTATTCCTGGAGCCTGTTAAGCCCAGGTCAGAGCATGGACTGGTAAGTATGTGAGCATTCTTGCTTCACAGTCAGTCTTTGCCTTTCAGATCCGAACCAAGTGGATCCCCCTGGTGAATGGCAGGACTGCTTCAGGGCCTAGGTGATCAGCAGGGCCTCAGCTAGGAGGGGGTAGAGGGAGGTGGGGGTGCGGCTAGGCCCCATCTGCTCCCTATCCCTGGTGATCATGGCCTCTCTCTCAGGTTGCCCATCATCCTGGTAGGCAATAAGTCAGATCTTCGGCCAGGGAGTACCATTGAGGCTGTGCTGCCAATCATGAGCCAGTTTCCTGAGATAGAGACCTGTGTGGAGGTGAGCAGGGAGGCTGAGACGTTCTGTCAGGAGGGGTTCTGTCAAGGCTCAGTGGCAATTGCTTATGTCTGTCGTGGGCCCCTTCCTAAACCTGTCCCTTCCCTTGCCCAGTGTTCAGCTAAGCACTTGAGGAATATCTCAGAACTGTTCTACTATGCCCAGAAGGCTGTTCTGCATCCCACGGCTCCCCTTTATGACCCTGAGGCCAAACAGGTGAGTAGTGAGTGAGGACCACACACTTGCTTCCCTATCTGAAGGCCCACGTGGGGTACTAGATAAAGAGAGCAAATAAATAGGGGTGTTGGCAGGATGAATAGAGCAAGGTCCTCTTGGTGCTGAGCCACTGTCCCTGCAGCTAAGACCTGCGTGCGCCCAGGCCCTCACTCGCATCTTCAAGCTCTCAGATCAGGACTTGGACCACATGCTCAGTGATGAGGAGCTCAATGCCTTCCAGGTGTGTCCCCACCCCCAGACTCCAGCTGCTCTCTGTGGTAAGAGGGTAGTTGGGACAGCTGGCTGATCTGAAGCAACTTCTTCTTGGAGGCAGAAGTCCTGCTTTGGACACCCTCTGGCCCCACAGGCCTTGGAGGACGTGAAGAGGGTAGTATGCAAGAATGTTGCAGGTGGTGTTCAGGACGATCGGTTAACCCTGGAAGGTGAGGCATATATTGTCTTAAGCATGGGTGTATGGGGAGTGACTGGACTAGACTGACTGCTAGCCACTACCCTTGCACAGGCTTCCTTTTCCTGAATACTCTCTTTATCCAACGTGGCCGTCATGAAACCACGTGGACCATCCTCCGGCGCTTTGGTTACAGCGACTCACTGGAGCTGACAGCTGACTACCTTTGCCCACCGTAAGTAGTGGGCAGACCATGGGGCTTATTCTCTTGGGAAGATCCTATTCGGTGGGCTTCTCTGAGATTGGATCCCAAGCACTGGCTTCCCATTGGGTTTGCCTTGACCCCTGTAACCTGGGGGCTCCAGCCTGGCCTCTGACACATACACACAGCACCCACCTTGTCTAGCCTCAACCATGGAACAAAATTCTATTGAGGAGGCCTGACTGCCCAGGCAGGGCCAACAGTGTTGACAGTTGAGGTGTACTAAATTGCCTGTGGCATCCCCACAGGCTCCATGTACCCCCTGGCTGTAGCACAGAGCTTAATCACCATGGCTACCAGTTTGTTCAGCGGGTATTTGAGAAGCATGACCAGGTGAGCACTGCACTTCGCCTGCACCTCACCACACCCCAAACAAATGTCACTTAGCCTCTCTACCCATAGGACCATGATGGTACCCTCTCTCCCATGGAGCTGCAGAATCTCTTCAGTGTGTTCTCAGTGGCCCCCTGGGGCCCTGAGCTGTCACACACAGTTCCTACTGAGGCCGGCGGGCTGCCTTTGCATGGATACCTCTGCCAATGGACGTAAGCACAGCCCACACCTTCCTGTCTACTCTCATCCACCTTTGTCTTACTCTCCCTGGACACTGTGCCTTACTCTGTCCCTAGCCTGGTAACCTACCTGGATGTTCAACGCTGTCTTGAGCACCTTGGCTACCTGGGCTACCCCACCCTCTGTGAGCAGGACTCCCAGGCACAGGCTATCACAGGTGAGTAACCACTTTTGTCGTCCTTGGGCCTAGCTCTCCCTTCCCTAGTTAACCTCCTCACCTGAGTTCATCTTCACAGTCACCAGGGAGAAGAGGCTGGACCAGGAGAAGGGGCAGACACAGCGCAGTGTCCTCATGTGTAAGGTGTTGGGGGCCCGAGGAGTGGGCAAGTCTGCCTTCCTACAAGCCTTCCTTGGCTACAGCCTGGGGGTGAGAATTGTGGAGCCCCCAACCCACACCCAGGGACTCCAGGAGCCAGGAGAGGATACCACATGGCACTTTGGGGCCAGCAAATCAGTGTATCCTTCCTAATACCCACACAGGAAGCCAGAGAACTCCCTGAGGAACCTACCAGGCACACCATCAACACAGTTCCAGTCAACGGACAGGAGAAGTACCTGATTGTGAGTTTAGGCCCATACATGCTATCCTGGAAGGTAGACTTGGGACACCCCATATGCCCCATTTCTCTTCCTAAAGGAACTGTCCCAGGGTGGTCTTTGGGGAACCCAGCCTTGGGGAGCCTCTCTGAGGCTACTATGTGTCCCAGCTGTGTGAAATGAGCGTTGACAGCCTGCTGGACACCTCTCTGGACACCACCTGTGATGTCGCCTGCTTAATGTTTGACAGCAGTGACCCCAAGACTTTTGCACACTGTGTCAGCATATACAAGGCAAGACCTGATCTGGGATCCTGCAGGGGGAGCCCAGCCATGGGCCAGGTGGGCCAGCAAGCTTAGCTCTCATGTTTCTCTCTTGGCAGCGCCATTATATGGACAGGCAAACCCCCTGCCTCTTCATCTCCTCCAAAGCTGACCTGCCGGAAGGTGTTGCCCCACCAGGCCTGTCACCAGCTGAGTTCTGCCGCAGGCACCGGCTCCCTGCCCCCACCCCATTCTCCTGCATGGGACCAGCACGACCCAGAACTGCTGTCTTCACCCAACTTGCTACCATAGCCACTTTCCCGTGGGTATTCCTACCGCGACCTTAGTGGAGGGTGGTTTGACCTATCCCAGGGCTCTCTGTCATCAGAGTATGGCAGATGTTAGAACTGCAGGGTGGGCGGGGCCCAGAGATCTAATGCTTCAGCCCAGCCGCTGACAGCCTGGGACACAGTGGAGGGGTTTTCAGCAGTGAACCTCCAGCATGTGCCCTGAGCACCTGTCTCTCCCACAGACACCTGGTGCACACAGAGCTGCACCCCACTTCCTTGTGGCTCCGAGGGATGCTGGTGGCCATTGGGGCTGCAGTGGCTGCTGTTCTCAGCTTCTCGCTATACAGGGTCCTGGTGAAGAGCCGATGATGAGAGGCCTATGAGCCCTCCCCTGACCCAAGTGTGGCACACAGCAGAAGAATGTGGGCTTTCAAGCCTGGTTGTGTAATGGCTCTGTGGCCACAGGGTCCCCAGCACTGATGTGGAGTTCCTGCTCAGGGACTTCATCTCTGTGTAAACCATGTTTTCCAAAGACCTGTTACTCTATGGCAGGGCTCTGTTTTGGCATGTCTTGCTGAACCCAGGGGTGCAGGTGGCAGGTGTGCCAAGTGTGAGGCCTCATCCTTAGAGCATCATGTATTAGGGGTTGGGCTCTGGGTTAAGGAAGCTAGTGACCTGGACCACCTACTTCCTGGTTCTATATGGCCAGTGGGTATGCAGGGACCAGAGGTGGTGACCAAGGCAGGGAGGGGCCTAATGGTCCTGGAGTCCCCACTTTTTCATCCAGTGTGAAACCTGGATGAAAGTGAAATTGGGTTTCCTGATTAAACTTCACTTGTCTTTTCCATCTCTTGGATCGTGGTCTCTGAAGACAGTTTTCTTTTTCTTTTTTTAAAAATATTTTTTATTTTACATGTATGAGTGTATTGCCTGTATCCATATAAGTGCACCTGTGTCATGCAGTGCCCTCAGAGGTCAGAGGAGGGTGTTGAATTTCCCCGGAACTACAGTTTAACAGACAGTTGTTAGCTGCCATGTGGGTGCTGGGAATAAATCCCAGGTCCTCTGCAAGAACAGCCAGTTCTCTTAACTGCTGAGCCATCTCTCCAACCCCTTGAAGACAACTTTTCTTTAATTGGTCTAGATGTGACTTCTGTTTTCTTGTGGGTTGGGAATGTCACCTGATGCCCCCCCCATCCCTCTCCTCTGTTCCTCACTCTATTGTGGTGGTACATGGCTGCAGATGGTCCAGTTGGGGCCTGCTGTGGTCCAGAACCCTTAGCATCTAATCGGGGGTGGGGGTGACAGTCCCAGTGCATGTGACCATGGATTTTCTGGGAATGTAGCTACATACATACCTTCCGGGGTTGGCGGTTCCCCATTACCCCACACTAAACTTCAGCACAGTCAGCCTGCCTAGCTATACCCGGATTTCTTGTGTACTCTGCCACAAGCAATCGACAGCTATGGAACCCTGCCTGTCCAGAAGCTGAGGGAGGGGGGCCAGTTAGGATGGGGTTAAAAGCTGAGCCTGCACCATGGCCTACCACCAAGAACACCCAGACAGGAATCCATACCCAGATACCCCTATGTGTCACTTAGGGGTGGAAGGTGGATGCTCATCTGTCCCAGAATGTTTGTCCCATGTGTGTCCCTGACTTGGGGAAGGCCCTCTAAGCTCCTTGCCAACCTCCCAGTCTACTGGCCTTCTGTCCCACTGGTTCTGGGCAGGATACTGTTTGTAGACAGCTATATTCTATAGAGGGTGCTGCAAGCAGGAAGGACTGTACCATTGCATCTCTGCAGCAGCAAGGTTCAGTTTCGAGTGCTACTTGGGGTTGCCATGGTTACACATCCCATTGGTCTGTAACCTTTACTGTCCTCAGGAGAAAGTCCCCTCCCTTATCCTAGGGACAGTCCTGTCTTCAGTGGCTTCTGTCCTGCTATCAGTGACTGCATGGGTACCCCTTGTGCCTGACTCATGCTTCTGCAATGGAGTCCTTGTCTCAAATCCATTGTGGGGATGGTTGGTCATAGCCTTCAACCTCAGCCAGGAGTATGGGTTTGGGTGGGGGTCCTTTGTCAGTTTGAACAGGGGCAGTCCTGTGGGACCATCCTCACCTCTGCCAGCTGGTATCTGGGCTTGTTTGGTAGGACCTGGAACTTCTTTGCTGGCACACTGCAGGTAAGATTGTCATCTGCAGGCTGTCCCCAGCTCGGTAGAAAGCTTGGGTGTAGTAGGGAGCAAGTGGATCTCTAAGTGCATAGGGTCACAATCTGGGGGTAACGGGCATATTTTTTTGTTCAGGGAAAGCTTCCAGGAGGTAATAACTGTTGAGGCCTGAATCAGGCTGTATGAAAGATGTTGGGTGCCACTCTGACTCAGTTGCCCAATTGCGGTCCTCTGGGAGAAATTTCTGCAGCATGTAGTGTGAGCAGGGGGAGCTCTGGGTCGAGGAAGGATGTACGTCGGGGCTGCGCGTGCGCGTGTGGGGTGCGCGTGTGGTTTGGCTGCGTGTGCACGGGGATGATGTCTCGGTGACGCGATCTGAGCACGGTGCGCGCAGAGCAGGCAGAGCGGGCCGGCCGGGGCGGAGCGGAGTGGTCCGCAGAACAGCCCCTCCCGGCCTCGGCCGACCCCCGTCCCCGGCCCGGCTCTATGGACAGGAGCTCGCTGCTGCAGCTTATACAAGAGCAGGTGCGTGGTGGGCGAGGGCAGGCACTGCTCCGGCGCCCTTCCCGCCGGCGAGGGCTCTAGGGGAGGGACGGTGCTCGCAGAGGGCCCCGCGAGGCAGTAGACTCCGAAGTCCCCTCCCTGCACGACCTTGGTTCCTGAGTCCAACAATCCCAATCCCATGATAGGCTTGGCCCTACCGGTTTCTGAGGGGAAAGCTGGGGCAGCTAGGCGATGGTTCTTGGACCTGAGCCCTCCCCTTCTTGGATGGGTGGGATGAAAATGAGGTGGGGGAGCAGCTGACCCAAGCACTTTCGGGTCTGGGAACAAGCCAGTCCTAGGAAACAGCCACTAGCTGGCACAAAGATTCAGCCCTCCTAGCTAGCCTGGTTCAGCCCTTGTGGCTGGGAGTTGACCTGCCCTCTGCTCCCCCACCCTAGCAGCTGGATCCTGAGAACACAGGTTTCATCGGTGTGGACACCTTTGCTGGGCTGGTACACAGCCATGAGCTGCCCCTGGACCCCACCAAGTTGGACATGTTGGTGGCTCTGGCCCAGAACAACGATCGGGGCCAGGTCTGCTACCAGGAGCTGGTGGACCTGGTCAGTGTCACAGTGCTAGTGTGTGGGCAGTGGGGGTGGGCCCAGGCCTATTCAGGCACAGAACCCTGGCTGGAACTGGGTGGGCATGCAGCTTTTCATTGGGTAGGGCTAACTGACCTGGGGCAATATGGAATAGGGCCTCAGACTCTGAGGAGCTACAAAGCCAACTAGGACAGGGTGCCATGGGAACAATACTGTTACCCACACTAAGACCCTTCCCTTTAGATCAGCAGCAAGCGCTCCAGCAGTTTCAAGAGGGCCATTGCTAACGGACAGCGGGCGCTGCCCAGGGACGGGCTGCTGGATGAGCCGGGCCTGGGTGTCTACAAGCGGTTTGTGCGCTACGTTGCCTACGAGATCCTGCCCTGTGAGGTGGACCGTCGCTGGTACTTCTACCGGCAACGCAGCTGCCCACCCCCGGTGTTCATGGCCTCTGTCACCCTTGCCCAGGTGGGCCTGCCCACCCGCTGCCCCGGGGCCTCCTGAGTCCCTGGTCTTGACCAGCCCTAACACTCGTGTCCCCAGATCATCGTGTTCCTGTGCTATGGGGCACGTCTCAACAAATGGGTGCTCCAGACCTACCACCCTGAATACATGAAGAGCCCTCTCGTGTATCACCCAGGACACCGTGCTCGTGCCTGGTGCTTCCTCACCTACATGTTCATGCACGTCGGGTAAGTGGGCCTTAGGGTTTCAGAGCCCACACCCAGCACCTGCCCATTGACTCTGAAGGCTCAGTCCAAGGGGTGCGGAGAGATGCAGCTGCCGGAGGTAGGACCTGGGAATAGGCAGGATACACAGCTGATTCCATCCCTCATGATCCTTCCTGGCCAGGCTGGAACAGCTGGGGTTCAATGCCCTCCTGCAGCTGATGATTGGGGTGCCTCTGGAGATGGTGCATGGTCTACTCCGAATCAGCCTGCTCTACCTGGCAGGCGTGCTAGCAGGTGAGAAGGGTGGGGCTCCTTGGCCACCTCACTGGCCAGCTGTGCCTTCACCCCTCCCTTTGCCCACACAGGCTCCCTGACTGTCTCCATCACTGATATGCGTGCCCCCGTGGTGGGGGGCTCTGGAGGGGTCTATGCTCTGTGCTCAGCACACCTGGCCAACGTTGTCATGGTAATGGGGCTGCCCTTCTGGGGAGGTGGAAAGGGGACCCTTGGGGTATGCCTCAATAGCCTGTCTGCCTGCCTTCATCAGAACTGGGCTGGGATGCGGTGTCCCTACAAGCTGTTGAGGATGGTGCTGGCTCTGGTGTGCAGTGAGTAGTGGGGCAGGTCGGGTGCTGGGAGGCCCTCCACCTGCAGACAGGGCCCCTCCCACCTGTTGCTCCCTCTGCAGTGAGTTCCGAAGTGGGCCGGGCTGTGTGGCTACGTTTCTCCCCACCACTGCCTGCCTCAGGCCCACAGCCCAGCTTCATGGCACACCTCGCTGGTGCAGTGGTAGGGGTGAGCATGGGCCTCACCATTCTTCGAAGCTACGAGGAGCGCCTGAGGGACCAGTGTGGCTGGTGGGTGGTGCTACTCGCCTATGGCACCTTCCTGCTCTTCGCCATCTTCTGGAACATCTTTGCCTATGACCTGCTGGGTGCCCATATCCCCCCTCCACCCTGACCTGCTCTCCAGGGTCATATGGCTAGAGCCTGGCCTACAGTGGGTCAGCCACCAGGTGGACCTGCATGTCTGTCCTCTGTGAGTGGACCTCTCAGGGCTGCTTTTCCCCACAGGGGCAGGGGGGGCCCTGTGGTCCACCAGGTTGAGACTTGGCCTCATACCAGCCCTGGCTGTCCTCACCCAGGCTTTGGGGGGAGGGACTTCTCGGCCAGGGCTGGGTGGAGGTTCTTGAATGTAGCCCCAGAGGAGACCCCATCCCATCCACCTACCCCCAGGACTTGCAGTCTGAGCCTTTTTGGAGAATGAATAAATAGTTTACACAGCACTAGGTAGCTGTCCTGGGGCTCTGGAGGCTTGCCTGTTCCCTCTTCTTCAAGCTGTAAGGGACACCTCCTTTCCAGGAGTGCCTGGCCCCACTTCTCCTTAAAGCTCTGCACTTGCCGGGTGTGGTGGCACACGCCTTTAATTCCCAAGCTTGGGAGGCAGAAGCAGGAAGATCTCTGTGAGTTTGAGGCCAACCTGTACTACATAGGGGGTTCCAGGCCAGATGAGACTACAGGGAGATCCTGTCTCAAAAAGATAAAAAAAAAGCTTTGCATTTGGCATGAGGTGTTGGCTTTACTTCTCAGGACCAGGACCAGTGTCCCTGCAAGGAGGAGGGGCCCCTGGAAAGAGACTGTACACTTCTGGATCAGGCCAAGTTCAGTGTTTGTGCTCCAGGGGCTTTCAGCCTCCTGTTTTTTCAGCTTCTCTTGCAAGGGTGGGTGAGCAGGCCCCACACCAGAGCCAAGTTCACTTGGCCTGAATCTTGTGCTTCTTGGTAGGCCTACAGTCCTCCTGGGTGGTCCAGCTAGAGCAGAGTTGGAGTTCAGACAGCAGGTCCGGGCAGACCTTCTGCCCCACAGCCCAGGTCCACAGCGCTGTCTCCACAAGGTGGGGGGTCCACATCTCTGAGGCACTCACTAGTGAGAACCACAAGGGCTCTGGGGTTCAAGGGCACTGGCCACCAGCACCCTGATGGCATGGCGTCCTGGGTGCCATCCCAGCTAGCCCCCAGTAGTCGGCTCACCTTGGGTCAGGGTTGCAGCGCGTTCTTGCACCTGGCCCAGGTACAGCAAATAGTGTTTGAGAGTGTACTGCAGGGCCAGCAGGCCAGGCACCGCAGCTACCGCCTCATCGGACGTGAAAGCCGCCGCCTCAGGGGCTCCGGCTGCAAGGGCGGCTGCAGGAAGTGACAGAGGGCGGCTCTAAGGAATAGCTTCCTGGAGCTAAAACCTCTTAGAAGCCCTCGCCCAACTTGGGCAAAGACGCTGCCGACTCACCCCACGCAGTGGCAGGGCCCACGCCGCGGAGTGTACACAACTTGATGATTGCGGCGTGGACGTCCGGCAGAATGCGGAATGCGGCGGTCTAGCACTGTACCACCAGCTCCGGGGGATTAGCGGCCACCAGTTGCTGCAGCCGTGGCCGAAATCCACCCTTCTGATGACCGTGGGGTCAAAAGATCCCGGGGGCTGGCACTCTCCAGGGAAGCCTGCCTACTGAGGCCCCGCCCCAGAGCAAGTCCGATCCCCAGAAGCTCCGCCCCATGGCCGCAAGCTTAGAGAGTCCCACGCCTCACCGCCAGCTTCCGTTCCAGCAGCTGTGTCAGGTCTTCTCGTGTCACGTGCTTCTCCTCTAGTCCTTTAATAGCCACAGGGAGCTCCTCCCGATACCTAGAGAAGCCCTGTAAGGGCGGTCTGGGCCACCGACCTCCCTCCCTCCCTCCTGGCTCCTTTATCTCTGCCATCCTACCAGCGGTCCAGGGCTTCTAGACGTCCCCGAGCTCCAGCGCGCACCCGCCACACGTGGTCGCGGCGCGCTAGGACGTCAGCCCAGTGGTTCGGGTCCTCTGAGCGCCATAGCACCAGAGCCACAGCTATGCTGGCGGGGAGTGGACAGAGGGCGGGGACTGAGTGTTGAGGGGGGTGGAGCCGAACTCCAAGCTGGGGTCCGAGTGCTGTGGGTCCAAACCCGGTTGCCTAGGGGTGGAGCCCGCAGAGAGCCGGGCGGTAGCGTAGCATCGTGGCGCCCCACCCACGGACTCATCTACTGCGCGGCCCCGCCCTCGGTCACGTGTTCTTCCCACCCCGCGCCGGAAGTTCCGGTGGCAGATCGCCGGACTGGGCCGAGCGGATCGCGGCGCGGGCTGCGGGAGCTGGCCGGCCGGGCGCTGAGCCCAAGCTGTGCCGCGCGGCGCCATGAAGGGCAAGGAGGAGAAGGAGGGTGGCCCGCGGCTGGGCGCTGGCGGCGGCAGCCCTGATAAGAGCCCGAGTGCGCAGGAGCTGAAGGAACAGGGGAACCGGCTCTTCGTGGGCCGCAAATACCCGGAGGCGGCGGCCTGCTACGGCCGCGCCATCGTGAGTGCGCGGGGCGGGGGCGAGGCCCGACGCACCTCCCAGCTCAGTGATTCCGGGGCGATCTCGGTGGCTAGCTGGTTCTATGGACACCCTGGCAGCGGTTCTCGGGCCCAGGGCTAGTTGCCCAAGAACTGGCGGGCGGGATAGTTAAGTAGCTTGGGCTGGTACCGGGAACCCTTGCCCCTTTAGGACTCCCAAGCCCAAAGCTGGGAGAGGGTCTGGAAAATTTGGATAGAACCAGTTGGAGTCAAGTTTGCGGTCTCAGCCAGAACGCAGAGCTCTGACAACTCGGAAACCTCCAGTTTGTCGATTTCAGCCATGGGCCCCAAAGCTGGGACATCACCCGGTGGCTGTCAGCTTGCTGGGACGGGACCAGACGATCCCCACCCTCATGTTACTTGGCCTTGGTCCCCAGACTCGGAACCCGCTGGTGGCAGTGTACTACACCAACCGTGCCCTGTGCTACTTAAAGATGCAGCAACCTGAACAGGCACTTGCTGACTGTCGACGTGCCCTGGAGCTGGATGCGCAGTCTGTGAAGGCACATTTCTTCCTGGGGCAGTGCCAGCTGGAGATGGAGAGTTACGATGAGGCCATTGCCAATCTGCAGCGAGGTGGAGTGACAATTTACCAGGTAGTGGGCACCTTGGGGCCTGGAGAGTTAACTGACAGGTGTAACCTAGTGTCCACTTCCCTAGCCTACGGTTTGGCCAAGGAACAGCGGCTCAACTTTGGGGATGATATCCCCAGTGCCCTGCGCATTGCTAAGAAGAAGCGCTGGAACAGTATTGAGGAACGTCGCATCCATCAGGAGAGTGAGCTGCACTCCTATCTCACCAGGCTCATTGCTGCTGAACGAGAGAGGTGGGTCCCTCCCCCAAGTGGCTACGCTGAGTCACCAGCACAACTGTTTATTGAAGGTCAATGCTGTCACAAGGGAAGCTAAGAGGGGAAAGAGGCCTAAGGTGGAATGGGCTCTGGCTTTTCTTAGTGAGGTCCATCACTGACCAGCTCCTGGTTAATCCTCAGGGAATTGGAAGAGTGTCAGCGCAACCATGAGGGTGACGAGGACGATGGACATGTCCGAGCCCAGCAGGCCTGCATTGAGGCCAAGCACGTGAGGGTACCCCTGGTCCACATGTGGGTTTGTGTATGTGTGTGCGTGTGGCATGAAAGGTGCCCCAACCCATGGTGGATATGTTGGCCCATGCATGACACAAATGCTCTGGCTGACATAGGGTATGTGTGTGTCTGTGTGGAGAAGAGATGAGTTGCCCACACATGGCACTCAACTCTGCAGGACAAATACATGGCAGACATGGATGAGCTCTTCTCTCAGGTGGATGAGAAGAGAAAGGTGAGTCTTCTTGAAGCCTCTGAGTATGTCCTGGAGTGGTGTCCCCTTCCCACCGCCTTATACCGTCCCATCCTTCTATAGAAACGAGATATCCCTGACTATCTGTGTGGTAAGATCAGCTTTGAGCTGATGCGGGAACCCTGCATCACACCCAGTGGTATCACGTATGACCGCAAGGACATTGAGGAGCACCTGCAGGTAAGGTCCCATGGGCCTTGGGACCAGGGCCTGAAGTATACTCAGACTCCTGAGCACTCTAACCCTCTCTTTGCTGTAGCGTGTGGGCCACTTTGACCCTGTGACTCGGAGCCCTCTGACCCAGGAACAGCTCATCCCCAACCTGGCCATGAAGGAAGTCATCGATGCATTCATCTCTGAGAATGGCTGGGTAGAGGACTACTAAGACCTTGCCCTGCTTTGCCTGGCACCCTGGCCCAGGAGGGTCCAGGAACAGAAGCCCCAGTCCCTGTACATAGTTTGTGTTCCTGGGCCTACCCCATCAGTTTTGCTGATGGCTTATGGACTGCTCTCCCCTCAGCATACCCTTGCTGGGCCATGAGCCTCCCCTGTCCCCCTTCTGGGCTGGAAAGCAGGTGAGGGTGGGCTGAGGTTGCTGCTGCTGCCACTGTCCTGTAATAAAGTCTTTGAGCACTACATTGGCACAGTTGCCTATTCTGGCTAGCCAAGGAAGGTGGAGATAAAGACACTGGTGTCCAGATTAAGCGTGGCATGCCACCAGCGGTCGGGGAAATACAGCACCTGGAAGGGGGGAATGGAGCAGAGATTGACTGGGGACCTTGTTGATCAGCCCAACCCCCACCTACCAGGTACTGACTTCACCAGCCTGGATGGTACACTCCAGAGGCCGTGCAGATGAGGCCATGGATGGGTATGTGTCCTGGAGCCAGGCCAATGTGGTCTTGTTGGGATGAAACTCTGGTATCTTCTCAGGGGGATACAGGAACCAGTGCTAAGGGCAGGAGTGTAAGGTCATACTTGGGTCCTGTGGTTTACTATCTTCAAGTTTCGGCTCCCACCTTGTACTGACCTTACGACCATAGATCACCTCAGAGAACCCAGGTCCATGCCAGTGGAAGGGTACCCCAGATCCAGCTCCTGTAGGGTCAGTTGTGAATAGCTGATGGAACAAACTGTGGGCACCCCTAAATCTGTTCTGAAGGTGCACTCACCTCCAATTCCAAAGCTGTAAGCAGGGGTGGTTCCCAGTAGACGAAATGGAGGTGGGGAATAGTGCTGGAATAGCGGTGCCCACTCTGTGAAGTTGTTGTCCCCGAAAAAGTACAGGGTATCTACCGGTAGAGAAGATAAGGGGCTGAAATCCTGGCAGCAGTGGACTTCTAAGAGCCCCACCCCCGCTGCTGCCCAGGTCTGGCTCACCATTGCCCAGGGATGTGGGGTCCTGGGGATACAGCAGCTGCTCCACATACTCCTGGAAGGGCAGGTCCACTACAAGAAGGGGCCCGTCAGGACTGGTTGATCCTGCCTTTGGGATGTTGGCAAATAGGCAGGCCTTGAGGGGTGCGGCAGGTCACCTTTTTGGTAGGAGTAGGTGTTGGCTGTGCTCAGCCGAATCACGTTGCTCCCAAATGAGGCCAGCAGCTTTTCTCGAGAACACAGGGCCCGGAACCGCTGGGGATGGAGGGCAAGAGAGGGCTGAGCAGCTAGTCAAGCAGTACCACTTGCCCACGATGGGTGCAAAAACTCACCGAGTTGTCTGTGAGTCCCTGCAAGATGACCGGTCTGAGGAAGGCATAGCTGGGGAGAAGGAGGAAGGAACAGCGTTGTGGAGATCAGACCCTGCAGACCATCTCCCGTGCGCTAAGCATTGAAAATGCGACCCCAGCGGCGAAAAGACTGCGCTCCAGAGACAGCTGACTCAAGCTGAGGCTTGAGGTGGGGACACATACTGCTGCATGAATTCGGCGTAGGTGAGGTCTGCCCGGCGCTCCACAGTGCAACGCTGCTCCATCACCGCCGCTGCCGACCACTGCCTGCTCTGCTGCCTGCAGGTACAACCCGTCAGCTCGGTCCACCCACGCTCCCTTCCACCGCCGGTCCCTAGCCACTCACCATCCCCCGTCGCCCAAGTTTCCGGAGCTAGGTCGAGCTACAGTCACCAGCGCCCACAGTATAAACAGAAGAGGCCCGGGCTGCCCAGACCCCGCCATGAGCCGGTCTCTTCCGGACTCGCGCCGCGCGCAGGGAACGTTGGGAACTCTGCTGGAGTTCGCGTACCGGAACGCCATTGGCCGTTCACACTGCGGAGCCCGCCGGTCCCGAGACGTCTCCGCCCCGCCCTCACGCACTTCCACTAGGTGTAGTGAAGACTACCCGAGCAACCATTGGCTACTGTGGGTTACCATGGCAATGATGGCCCAACCGGAAGTTCCCGCCAGACCCTTGGCGCGATCAAAGTGATAAGCAACCCTCCGGTATTTCATGCTTTTTATTGTTTTCAGGATGCATCATCCTTCCATCCTGGCACATGGGATGGACAAGAAGTTGTGAGCCTGGTTCGGTGGACTTTGGAGTTGAACTGTGGAGGCTGCCTCAGTCTCAGGACAGGCCAGGTCAGGAATACTCGCAAAGATGGCCACAGCCGGCAGGGCAGTGGGAGCTGCCCTCCAGCCACTTCATGATGTGTTGCAGGTGGCCACCGTGACTGCAACCCTGGCACCACACGAACAGACCTTTAACCACGTGATGGCACACAGCACACATACTGGCACAGCGGTGGCACCTGGGGGTAGGAGGGTGGGTCAGCTGGGGAATTTCTGGGCTGCCTGCTACCCAAGCCTCCCAATCCTGCTGTTGCACCTGTCGCAAACCCAGCCGCGGCTGCTCATGGGCCGCTTGCAGTGGCTGCAGTTGACATGCAGGGTGGTGGAGGCTTGGTTGAGGCAGCTGACTGCACGGCTGGTGCTCAGCTTCACCACCTCATTGGACACATTCCAGAGGCAGAAGCGTTGTAGTAGATCAATGTAGGATGTGTACCAGTGCTCCTGGTAGGGAAGGGATGGGCTCAGGTCAGTGTTTCCAGGCATACTGGGGCAGGAAGTGCAGTAGAAGAGGGCCAGGCTCAGGTGGGGAGACAACAGCTGATTCAGGGAAATCATCCCTGCCCTGTCACACACCTGGGTCTGCTCATCGATGTCCTTGCGCACTCTCTCACCCAGCACGATGAGTACAGACACAGCCATTTGCACATCGCCCTGCTCAGCATAAAAGCGAAGCATGTCCCGTACCAGTACACTGAAGAAGTCAGGTGGCAGGCGGCTGTCATAGAGCGCATGTGAGACAGAGAGGAGGGAGAAGGAGGAGTCCACTGGCGCCAACGAGGCTGCGTCTGCCTCACTGCCGCTTACATGTGGAGAGTCAGCCTTGTCCTGCAGGTGCTCAGGCCCGGATGGTGTGTCCACAATCTCGTGGCGCAGTGGGAAGGCCTCCTGTGGCAGCACATACTCAGGCTCCTCGGCTGGGAGGCAGGGGTGAGGAAAGGTGGACCTGAGCCTAGGCCTTCCACCCCACCCAGCCCCTGCTCACAGAGCCATGTTCTGGATCTGAGCCCACCTCACCCAGCCCCCACTCACGGTGCACATGTTCTGAGTCCAAAGGGTACAACTCATCTTCCTCGCCCTCTACATCACCCAGCAGGTAGTCAGCAGGCACATCGCTCCCCTCAGTTTCCTCATTATCTGCACAGCATGGGAAGGCGGTCATTCAAGGGAGACGACTCACTGTGGGTTTCCCCAGCTCTACTCCCCTCCCATCAACATCCCTGCCCACCCTCTAGCCTACCCTCATTGGTGATGAGTGTAGCTGAGGAGTCAAGCAGAGCTGTGTCACTCCGTGCATCCCCTTTGCTGCGATCCAGTCGGGTCTCACTGCCCAACCCTGGGCCCATATCCTTCAGATTGAAGCTAGGGGTGGGGAAGGCTTGTGAGTGGCCAAGTACCAGCAGTCCACCCTTGGGGGGGATGAGAAGTGGTCTTGACATCTACCTGTTCATGAGTGGCAGGCCACAGGAGCTGCCTTTGCCCACACTGTGGTTGAGGTTGGCAGAGGGCACCAAGCCAGGGCTACAGTAGATGATCCGCAGCATTGTCCACGTCTGTGCCACCTAGGGCAGGTACCGACCACTGGGTCCTGGGCACCTGACAGCTCCCCTCTGCTGGGCAGAATCACACACCAACCCACTGCCTTGCCCACCCCCAGTGGGGAAACTAGCACATGGAAAAGGGAAAACCACACTCTCCACCCTATAGTAACACAATTGTGAGGCACCTGGTATTATTGGGACTGGTGAAGATAAGAGAGATGGCATGCAGATGGCAGCTCCAATACCAAAAGTGTGGCAGAAGAGGAGGCTGTGAGCACTTGACTCCCCAGGCCTCCACCCCAAGGACAGCCTCCACCTCAAGGACAGCCCTAGGGTCTGGGCTACTCTGACCCATATGATCTTTACATTGTCAAATGCTGGGGCTGTGACTGATCAAAGCAACACACTGAGCTCAGAGTGGTTATGGCTATGGTGCCCTACTATAGCAGCAGTCTCTGACCCCTCATGGCTCCTGGGTCCCTCAGCCCTACCTACCTGATTACGACCCAGCTCCCGGGCCACTTTTGCATTGTGGTCACAGAGCTCTGCTAGTGGCCGACCAGCCAGAGCATAACGCTCAGCAGTGTCCACAAACCAACTCATGCTGCCACTGCCAGGCTCTGTCTCAAAGACACTGAGGGCACTGGAGGCCAGGCCAGAAAAGGGTTCAGCAGGGTCCAGCTTGCGCTTGAAGAAAATGGTGTGGCGCCGGTCACCAGCATAAGGCTTGCGCCCAGATTCAGCAGCTACCAGGCTCTCCTTGGCAGCAAAGGCCAGGTCCCCAAAGAGGCCATAACAGAGGCCCTCAGGGTTGGCACGCTCAACAGGCTGGCTGGCATCACGGAACAGGTGCTGGCACAAAGTGCTGTCCTTGGAGCCAGAGAGTAGGAAGGAGGGGTCATGTGGGTGGCGCCAGGCGATACCTGTGGTGACATCACGGTGCTCTTCAAACATAGCCGCAGGGACAAAGGGCCGACGCACATCCCATACATAGATGTTATGGTCCACCATCATGGAGCATGTGGCCAGGTGGTGGCGGCACTCAGGTCGCCATTTGACTCGGGCCACTGAGGCGATGGTCTGCACACAGTGCATCTCCTTGGCACGATGCGTGGTCATGTCCCAGACCTTCACCATCTTGTCACGCCCACCTGTGGCCAGCCAGCCCCTGTGGAGAAGGCCCCATTCAAGTTCTCAGTGACCTCTCTTGGGAGAAAGGCAACCCTGCCACACCCCACTCTGTCTTGCAGCCTTCGCTTTACTGCACCCCTCCATCCCCACATCATACCTGTCCTCTGGGTGCCAGTCACAGCAGAAGACAGGCCCATTGTGGGCCGTGAACATCCTTTCACATCGGTCAGGTCGGCGGATGTCCCAGAGCTGTACATTGCCATTCTCAAAGGTGGAGGCAAAGGTAAAGTAGTCACGGATGCTGAACTGCACATCCCGCACACTCTCAGACTGGCCTGTGGGCACAGATTAGCAGAGCTGTAGAAGTGAGAGGGCTGGCCCATATGGGGCAGGGGACTGGAATGGTATCACAAAACAGCCTGTGGTCCAGCCAGGAGGCACAGAGGGTAGGAGGGAACACCACCAGAGTCGGTCTGGGGTGGGTCTCTGGAGCTTATGCCAGATGGTTTTTGCACAAATTCCCAGGTCTCAGTTTGCACATAGGCAAAGCTGTAGCGCAGCCTCAAAGAATGTAACACAACACTGGGCATTGCAGAGGAGCCCAACCTGCTTGTCTGCCCATACTCCCCTGGGGCCAAGGCCAGACTATCCCAATGAGTGGAATAGGAGAGAACCTAATTCTCTGCTCAACACTTCTGCAAACCGCCTAGTTAGCCTTAAAGGACTGGAGGACTCAGAGAGGACCACCATTCCAGGAGCCTAAGGGGGCGGTTCAGCTTTTCCCTGACACACACAGTTCAGGATCTGCCTTAAGTTCCCAAGTTCTCCAAGGCCCCAGTGCTCTGCTTGTACTTCAGTTGGTCTCATCAAGAAGGACCAGGGAGAGCTCAGAGATGAACATTGAGAGTGAGGCCTTCCATGAGAGGGTCTTGTGTACCCCACCCACTCTGTAGCCCTGGGTTGAGAGCTCTGGAGATCCTGGAAGGTTTACTACAGAGAGGCAAGTTGAAGCAAAGGGAGGGAAAGGGAGGCACTCAGCCACTCACTGTGTTGTGTCTGAAGGCTCTGTCCTCCCTCACAGCCACACCCAACACCCAATCTCAATTCCTGCAGGTCTGGTTCCCTGCCTCTCCCCTACCAACAGTGCTTGGGCTCATCCTTCACTGGGGGGGCCTACCCTACCCCCAGACTCCATCCATTCTTCCAGTACTGGCCAGTCTCTGAGAGTGCATTTGAGACCCTCTGATGAACACAGCACATTTCAGCCTGCCTGGACAGGCTTAGCACCTACAGAGACGCACACCTGCCCCTACCCGCCTCCATGGGCCTCACCAGAAAAGGTGCTGACAGAGTCCTTCCTTCGGAGGTCAAAGCACTTCATGAAGCCATCCTGAGAGCCACTGAGTAGCACATGAGCCTCAGTGGGGTGGAAGCAGACTTTGTTCACAGTGCGCTTGTGTTCTGTGAACAGTTGGTCCTGCTTGTTTCGGGATGGCCGACCCAGGTTCCATGTGACCACCACACCATTGGTGGCTGCTGTGGCCAGCAGGTTCTCATCCATCTGGTGCCAGACCACATCAGCACAGCTCAGATTGAGGGAGGGCTTGCGACCCACACGCAGATTTAGCTTCTCCACAAACTGCTCCTCCTCAATGGCATAAATCTTGAAGATGCTGCGGCCTGCCACAACAACCTGAGCTGCATCACGGCACACACTGATGGCATTGGCTGGCGCATCCAGGTGGCAGTGCATGGTGCGGCCTGTCAGTGCACTGCCACTCAGGGCTGTGGTAACTCGGGACATCTTTTCCATGGCTGCACGGGTGTTAGAGGCAGGTGGTCAGTGAAGTGAGCTGGTCTGGTCAGCCATGATGTTCTGACAGTTCAGATTAGGTCCCCTGGAACTGTTTGGGCCTGGAATGGTCAGTCTTGGCACTATATGCAGGCAGTCCATCAGCCAATCAGTCTTATAGGGAAGTTGAAGCTCACTGGAGTTCTCCACAAGGCACCATAGCTGCCCTGAGACTGCTCAGTACCATGTCTGACTTCCCCAGAAGATTCTATGTGGTTAATCCTCCATCAGTGTGATCCTGGAGTTGGGGGGGGGGAACTGGACCGTTGGCCAGTGGATCCCAGAAGAGATGTGGTTCCCGGTCTACACAGTGCCTCCGAGGGCTGCGAGACTTCTGAGAGGAACAAACGCAAAGAAAGGGTAGAGGAGCTGAAGGGGTCCACAGGACTGAGTTGTTCAAAGACCTTGGGAGGCAGGAGAGATGTCACAGCACTAAATACAGATATCCGATTGCACAGGGTAGCGGGACCAGAAGAATCCCAGCCGCCGTACGCCAGTCATTTACCCAAAGCACAGAGCTTCCGTAGATGCCGCACCCGAAGAGACTCACCTCGTCCCGCCCCCACCGGAAGTAGTCCATCCTTATTCATACCTCGCCGGAAGTGGGCGCGAACTCTTACCCCACATCATAAGAGTTCCGTGTTGAGGTACTGCGCCTCTCCAAGCGAGTTTACCAGAACTGGGCTCTGCAGACTCCGTGGTTCTGCCTCGGTGATTTGTCCGCTTCGTTGTTGTTACTGGTTTTTTTTTGGTTTGTTTATTGTGATGTTAGAGAAGATCAAACCCAGGCAGAGCCTCATGCATGCAAAACAAGCACTGTCCAACTGGGCTATCTCCCTGTCCATGTTTATTTTAATCTGTTTTGGGTTGTTTTTTTTTTTTTTTTTTTTTTTTTTTTTTTTTTTTTCACTGTTGGCCTGGAAACAAGGGTCTCCCTGTAACCTCAGCTAACCTGGGACTCGCTATGTAGACCATGTTGGCTTCCATCCCATAGAGATCCACCTGCCTTTGCCTCCTGAGTGCTAGGATTAAAAGTGTGGTAGCTATTAGTATTCTCTTTTTAATCTCAGTATTTTAACACCAGTACTTAAACCTCTCCTGCAGTCCTTCAGTGAATCTAGTCATCCCTAAGCAGATCCTGAGTTCCTCCAGTTCCTGCCCTCTTGGTCCTCAGGTGCCACTTCCTGACTGGTCTTTCTTGGGTTCATCATTCCCTGATCTGAGCCCCTCAAAAGCAGCCCGTACCTCTTCTGCGCAAGACCTAGCTCCCTACTATTCCCAGCTGCCTGGCCCTGCCCAGTTTGTGCATCTGCCCTGTGCCCTTTTTGGCTCCTCATTTCAGCAAACTTCCATCCCATTCTTTTCTCCTGTCACAGTTGCATATGCCTTTTCCCTCTGCAGAACGTGTCTCTTTCCCACTCACAGAGCTAAGTTTGATGCCTACCTTCTTTGGCCTTCCTTGCCACCGTAACCTAATGTGGCCCCCTTTGTTTACTGTGAGTTGTCTGTTTATGGCCTTACATCTGTTTTGGTGCCCACTTTCAGGACCTGACAACTGGTTCTATAAGCAGCTCAGCTGCCCTTTCTTTTCCTGGAGGATGGTAGTCCTGGCTTCTGACACACTGATCTTTTAGAACATCATAATCCCTCATTTAGTTTACCCCGTGCAAAGGACAAGGTTTATTTCTGCTTTCTGGAAGGGTGGTGACCTAGATCCTAGACACTTTTGAAGGTATATGTGTGTTGACATTGGTCTTATCTCTCCCTTTTGTGCATTACGGGGGTTAAGAAACTTCTATGTTGGTCACTGCTGAGGTTCCAGTCCACCCTAGGACCTCCAGCCTCTACATGTTTATTGAAAGAATGAATAACTTTGAGGAGTTGAAAAGGCAGGAGAATCCAGAGACCTAGATCATTCAAGGCAAATACAACCCCCTACAACCTGGCCTAGTGACCAAAAAACAATCCAGACTCATGTTTTTACAACTTTTTTAATATATATTTTTATAAACAGGTCACGTGATAAAATAGCACAAGAAACACTTACCAAATATAAGGTTATATCTTCGGCATATACAGGAGAATGAGGTCGTTATGTACAATAAGAAAATGATTTTAGGGGTTGGTTGGTTTTGTTTGTGTTCCTCTCTCCCCTTAAATTTTCCTCCTACAGTCATTGGAAATATCACAGCTTCAGTTACATTAATACTTTGGGCAAATGGACAGCTGCCCCCTCCCTGTTGGGGGATCATGGGAGGAGGGGCTGAAGAATCTGGCTCCTGACCATCTCAGCCTGGAGCCTCCCTGGTTGACACTCCAGGGGCAGGGAACTCTTTGGGCTGTTGAACTGTTTCTTTTTGTCAACAGCATCTCTCTCTCTCTCTCTCTCTCTCTCTCTCTCTCTCTCTCTCTCTCTCTCTCTCTCATTCTCTGGCTCTCTGGGCTCTCTGGAAACTACTTTCTTCCAACCAGTTAGGGGTGTCCCAAGATTGGTTGTAGGTGCTGTGTCTCCTGGGGCTCAAGGTTGGGAGGGAAAGGGGTCCCAGCCCCTTCCTAAGCACTGCCACAATGTGCCAGCATCCCCGGGGGCTTCCAAATGTCTTGGGATCTGACAGAACATGGTCAGAGCCCATTTGGACAGGCAGAGGTTTTGGAGCTGGGAGGGGTAAAGGAGGGCTAGAAAGGATCCCTCACTCCTAGGGGCGAAAAGGGTGTGCTGGGCACTGGAAGATCAGAATCAATGGTCAGTGCTGACCCTGACCTTGGCTAGGCCCTCCTCTGCAGATTAGCCTGGGTAAAACAGTGCTGAGAGGCCTGAACTTAGCTGGGACAGGGGCTGGGGTGCATGGGCTCTCCCAAGGCCTGACAGCTCTGAGGGTGGCTCTAGCTTGGGATCTGTCAGGTGCCTATTCCACCTTTGCACTGGATGGACACTGGCTAAGCTAATGTTGATTATTCCAAGGTCATCATCGTTCTAAAGCTGTCCCAGCCTGGCCAGGGCTCAAGGATCTGTAGGCCAGGGGGAAGGGAGGGGATGAGGAGGTGGCACAGAGGACAAGAACTGACCCATATGGCGACAAGGAAGAAGGAAAGCCACTTGGGTCAGGCGGGCATGGGGAGGGGAGTTGGGCTCCTCAGGGGGCCATGGCTTTGGCAGTGGCCTGTGATGCCCCCTACCCCTCAGAGGGCTCCAGGCGCGGTGCAGTGGAAGATATGGGAGGCCCTTGGGGCTCTTCCAGGCCCCTGAGTCCTGGGGGACCAATCATCCCATTCCCTTGGGCCCTGCCCGGGATGGGGGACAGCGGGGGAGGCAGAGAGCAGAATGAGGTGGGGAAGGCAGTGAGGGCGTCTGCACTCAAAGTGTCCCCAAAGGACCGAGCCCCCTCAGAGGGAGGGCGAGTGATGGCGGCGGCTGTGGCATGGTGGAGGGCGGGCGTGCAGTGCGGGCACGAGGGGCATGCACAAAGTCCCCGAGTGTGCGTGCGTGCGTGGGGCTGGCCCCGCTGCCTCCTGCCCTGAGTGGGGCGAAGAGAAGAGCAGAGAGGCAAGGGAGGCACGGGGCGGGCTTCCCTCGGCTTGCCCGCCTCCCGCGCGGGGCCGAGACTCGGGGCTCCGGCAGGGCCAGAAGAGGGGCTCGAAGGCGCCCCGCACCCCGCCTAGGGCGTGGCCGGTTCCCGCAGCCCGGGTGGGGAATCCCGTGCTATTCAATGACGAGGCAGCGTGGCAGGTGCTGCGAGAAGTACTTGAAGAGTTCGGGTGTGGCCCCAGGGCAGTTGGTCAGCTCCAGCTCCTCCAGTTCCTGCAGTTGCACTAGGCCGGACAGCCCGGTGGTGGTCAGGAGCGGGCAGCCTGCAAACGTGAGGCAGACAGATAGCGGCTCAGCTAGGCACCTGGGGAGAACTAGGCTGGGTAGGAGGGCCAGGGGCGAGGGGCGTGGCCTGTCTTGGTGGGCATAATGGGGTGGGGCCTACGTTCGGCATGAATGGGTGGAAACTTAACTGGATGGGCAGGACCTGAGCCAGGTCCCGGAAGGGAACGAAGGACAACAGCGCCGGGCGTAACCTGACGGGGGTAGGTCTGAGCTGACTGTGCGGGGATGGGATCTGACAGGATAGGTCTGTGCAGGGATGGGATCTGACAGGATGGGCAAGGCTTGGCGCAGGCTGAGCTAGGCCAGAGGCTCCCCATCCTCCAGTCGGTACCTGGCATAAGGCAAGCTAACGCCTCGTGTGAATCTATTCGCACAAGGGACCCGACGGGGCCCGGAGCGTCAGACTAAGAGAGTGGGCGTCACAGCCCAGGAGGCATGCAGGGGACCCTTACCTGCCAGAGACAAGAGACGCAAACTTCTCATGGCTAAGAGGTGCTTCAGCCCGAAGTCCTGCACCTGAGCGGAAGGGGATGGGGGGAGGTGCAAGTTAACAATTTCCACTTGTCTGGGACCTGGAGCTGCTAGAGAGGCAGGAGGTGGGGGTTCAAAACGGAGGTTTCTCAGCCCCCCCATGGGGAACGGCCACAAGGGCCTTGGGGACTCCGATTTGTTCTGTTTTGGTTGGCTGCTTGGTGTCCCTGGGGAATTTGAGTGGGGCTCGGAGCGGTTCAAGGACTGGACTGGTGTTTTCCCCGCGCCACCCACCACATGCCCTAATTCCCAGATCCCTGGGGGCATGGAAGTACCTGGCAGCACCATCGCAGGTAGAGGCTGCGGAGGGACGACATGGTGGACAAATAGCTGAGGCCAGTGTCCGTGATGCGTACACACCTGTGGTTGTACCAGAGGGGGGTACTGCCCACCTTTAAATCGCTTTGCCCCACCCTCACTTAGGTCCCTCCCCCTCTTTCCCCAAAGTGTCTCCAGAGCAAGCCCCCGCCCTACTGGCAACTGCCCCCTTCCTCCTCCCTGGCCATGCCCCTACACCTGCCTGCCCTGTCACTTCCCTTCCACCGGTGCTGGAGTTACACCCACTTCTGGCGCTCTGATATTGATGGTGTGGTCTCCTCTGTGGCCTTGCCCACCCCAGAAGCCTGTGAACTGATGCTATGCACTCTAAGTTACCAGTTCCTGGAAACCCAGCCAGTGCCAGCCTGGAGTGCAGGGACATGCGCACCTGTCCAGCACGAGTTCCTCCAGGCGGTGCAAGTCGCAGGCCACGTACTCCAGTGCCATGTCGGTGATCCGAGGGCACCACGAGAGGTCGAGGCTGCGCAACTTGCGCAGGTTCTCAGCTACAAGCTCAACACCATCGTCAGTGACCTTAGAGCAGCCTGAGAGGCTGAGTGAGGTGAGGTTGGGCAGGCTGTGCACCACGTTGACCACGCCATGGTTGGTTATCTCCCAGCAAGAGAGCAGGCGCAGCGTGTGGGTGCTGTGGCCCTGGCGAGCTGTGAAGTAGGCCAGTGCAGTGTCTGTCACATGGTAGGCCTGCAGGCTTAGCTCTGCCAGGTTGGGCAGCAGTTGTGAGATGGCTGCAATGGCATCGTCGGCCACGTTGATGCAGTCGCTGACGCTCAGTGAAGTGATGCGTGCACTGAGGCTGGACCACAGACCAGCTTCGGTGAAATCATTGCAACCTGACAGCTCCAGGCGCACCACTCCCTGCATCTGCTCCAACATCACCTGCAGGCAGGTACAAATCAGAGACCAGCCTAGGTCAGCTCCCTCACTCACCCCTGGTGCCCCTTCTGCCAGGGGTGGTGAGAATTGCCAGTATAGGGTGAAAGAAGCTGCTGGGAGGCTGAAAGCAGTGGTCTCTCAAATGTAGTAGACTTGTGCAAGCATGCACCAAGCTGAACTGTAAGGAGTGCATTTAAATTGCTTGTTCTACTTTGCCAGCGTTCCAAAAAGGCAGCTGGGCACGGGGGACCCAGGAGCCAGGGCCTGGTCAATGCAGGTGTTTGGAGCAGTTGGTCTGAATGTTAAGATTATAATCCAGGTCCAGGGGTAGGGTAGAATATCCAGCTACTCTTTCAACCCTTGCTCCTGGGAGAACCTTTCCCAGCTGCCTCTCACCTCCCTACTCTCTCTAGCATCCTCCCCACCCAAGGCCAGCTTCACAGGCAAGCAGGAACCCACATGTAATTGTCTGTTCTCCTGTTACTAACCTTGAAATCTTAATAATTTTTGAACAAGAAACCCACATTTTCACTTTCCATTAGACCCCAGCAATGCCACTGTCTGCTTTTTGTCCCTTGTATACCTGAGCTTCCTCTGGGCTCCACACCCTCCCAGATGCATAGGGTTGCTGCTGCCTATCCCTGTCCCCTTCTGGCCAGTATTGGGACACACCTCTAGGCCAGCATCAGTGATGGTGGAACGCTTGAGGCTCATGGCCTTGACTCCCTTCTTGGAGAGCGCATAGTTGTCGATGAACTCACAGATGTCTAAGTCAGAGACGCCAACCAGGCAGAAGCCCTCAAAGCCTCGAGCAGCGAAGCCCTGCAGGTTCACGAACTCCTTCTCACCTCCAGGCAGCACATTGTACAGCTCCTTGGCATGCAACACAGGTGTGAGGCCTGCCCAGAACTTGGGCTGGTAGAGCACACGCCGCCAGGCCTTGCATACCTGGGCTAGCACACACTTCTCACATGCTGAGAAGTACCAGAAGAGCCCATTGAGGATCTTCTCATCTGTGGCTAGTGGTGGCCGCTCCACTGGAGGTCCAGGCACTGGGCCTGAGGCTGTTCCACTGGCTGGGGGGCATGGCCCCCCGGCCAGAGCAACCCGGGACAGTGGTGCAGCCAGGTTGGGAGGTGGAAGGGTGGGTGGGGGAGGTGGCTGGCAAGGGCGGTTCTTGGCAGCAGGTGTGCCCTTGGTGATGCTGGCTGCACCTAGGCCGTTGGGCTGGCCAGGCAGCTTCACTAGACCATTTCGAGGCAAGCATGGAGTCTTGGGGTCACCGTTGACACCCGGGCTCGACATCTTCCTTGCACGTTCTGTGGATGAGCCAAGAGAAAACAAGTGAGTTTTCTGGTCTCTGGGGAAGCTGGGGAACCAGCCCTTTTCCCATCCTTGGGCATCCTCTCCCACAGTGCTCCCAGGGCTACTCAACAAAAAGGAACATGTTGCACGTGCCTTTCTCTGACTGCACAAGAGGCAGGCTGGCCATATCCAGGTGTGTAGGTGTCCACAGCCCTTGTTGTATTCACTGGCTCAGCCTGTACTCTTCACATGTGTTTTCTGATGCTGTGATTTTCATTTCACCCCTGGGGTAGCAGAAGTTAGGGAGAGATAAAGTCCTTTACTACTCCCTCCACCTCTGCTCCTCTGCTGCCAACTAATGGGGCCTGGGGCCTGGGAAACTGAGGGAAAGTGTTTGAGAAGTCTCTGACACCTCCCTCACAGGGTGCCAGAAGTCCTCAGAGTCACAGACCAGCTCTCAAGAATCCCTGCACCTATAGTAAGTTGTGTGGCCCAGGTGTCTTCCCACTGTTGATTGTGGTGACAGCAGAGTGAGCCGTTGGACATGTGCTCTTTAATTGCCCACCCAACCCAATGAGGATGGTGCTGTGATATCTGTTTCCATTGTGCAAACTGTCTGAGGCCATGGCCAGTTAAGTGATAGAACCAAAGTTTGGACCAGAGCTAGATAAGGAAGGCCATTTGGAAGGCCAGGGTCACCTGCCCACAAGGCTCCCAGGGCTGAAACTGGGTGAGAAAGGGCATTGTGAATGGAAAATATGGAGGGAAAGGGCAGTGAGATCCCCATAATGCCACAATCATCTGCTCTGCATTCCAGATAGGTTTCATGTTCATCACCACCCAACATCCAAAAAGGAGGCAGAGTTTTCCCCTGCACAGATTCAACCTGTAACACCCTGCACTCCAAATGGGCTCTTCTTTGAATGTGTGGTTTTGGCTAGCCACTTCTCTCTCAAGAGTTTTGAACTTCTACATCCTCACTTTGAAACCTTGGAGGCGATGCAACTCACTCTCTCCCATGTAAGGCAATCATAGTGATGGTAGAGTAAGGCTTGGAAGGTTACTTCTGAGTCTCAGAGTTAGCCCAAGGACAAAGCAGGATCTACCTTCCTATATGTATTGGAGACCCCAGAATGGATCTGGACTTATATACCAATCCCCAGCTTCTTGCCCCATAGTTTCAGGGGAGAGAGCAAAATCTGCTCCTAGGTCCTCCATTATCCTATCCTACCTGATTGCAGTGGGCCATAGCCTCACCAGGGATCCTGGAAAAGTATGAAGGGGGTGTCTGAGGAAACTCCCATGAGCAATGGGATACTCAGACTCTCAGAAAAAAAAAGGACTCATGTCACCTTTTAAGCTGAGACTCCCTTCTGGAGCTGTAGGGTCAAGGAAGTTGGCCACCCATTCTCACAATCTGGCCTGACATAAGAAAGGGGGACAAGAACCACCAGGAAGGGGTCCTGCTTTCTACTTGTCAGCACTGTGTCCTATTGACTTTCTATCCTGTACAGGCAAGCCCTTGTTGTCGTCCTGCCTCTGGGGAAGGAGAAAACCTTGGGCTGGAGTCTCCCCAGAACATGTCCTCATGATCACTAACCCAGCTTTAGATCTAAAGACTGCCTTGCTGTGGCTGTCACAAATCCTCTTGCCATTGGCAGTCTACCCCAGGCCCTTGGTGCCCTCTATCTTCCCCCTTCTTCAAAGGTGTCATTTGGGCCCTGGGTGGTGGGCAAGCTAACCTCTGAGGGAGGTTTCCAGTCCTTGGCTACCCCTTTGTGCTCAAGACCAGGCAGTAGTAGCCCAGCCAGTACAGCAGCATTGCTAACATGTGCCAAATGCCCACTGGGACAATCATGTATTTCAGCTTCACAACAGGCAGCCCTGTGTGGGAGTGACTAGTATTGTTACCCCAGTCTTCAGACAAGGAACCTGAGGCTCTAAGGAGCTACAGTTTGCACACCGTGGTGGGGGAGATGTGCAGTGTGGCTACCCCAGTTCCCTGAGACCAGTACAGAGAAGAGGCTCTGTTGTAGAACAGCAGCATTCATAAGGGGCAAAGGCTGACGTCCTTGACCACTCCCATTCTTGTCCTAGCATCACATTCCTGGGAACTGTGCTGGGGAGTGGCAGCCTTAGCCTGTATACCCGCCATGCCCATGATTCCTTGTTAAGGTCCGGACCGCCCATCCGGCCTCAGCCACTAGGCGCCGACCTGGCGAGTTCCGAGCTCCGCGAGTAGCACCATGGACAGCGGCCGCGTGCTTAGGTGGCCAAACGGTGCCGCAGCACGAACTCCCATGAAGAGGAGGAGGGATGAACAGCGGCTTCAGCAAACCCAGTTCCACAGGGAGGGGCAGGGGGAGAAACCGCCCGCTTGGCTAGGATCCGGAGGAGGCTGCGGAGGCGGTGCCAGGGGAGAAATAATCCAAGAGCTGTGCCGATTTAGGCTGAAAATGCTCCCAGCCGCGGGTGTGCACGTGGAACGCCTGAGTTGGGGGGATGCACGTGGATGCCCCGGGCATCTGTAGGGTTCCTTTCCACCCCTCACTAGAGCTCACATTTGCAGAAGCACACAGTTCCACCCCTACCTTCCTGGCTTAGGTCAAGCGGGAGAAAACAGGCAGGATTCTAGAGTCCAAATCTGAAAGGGTGAAAGGGATACGTACTGGCTGCCCTTCATCTCACACCCTCACCCAGGCTCCTGCATCTCCACACAGGCAACCCTGCTGCTCCCCAGCTTTATGCTCAGTGTCCTAGGGAGGCTCTGATTGCTTCTACCTCTCTTGGCCTGATTAACCCAACCTAAGAAACTCCTACATTGTGGTTCAAAAATGAAAACAGTTACATCTAGGCCCAAGGGCTGAAGTCTTGGGAGAAAGTTGAATGCACAGTGGAAGACTGGGACCTTCCTGCCAGGTAGGCAAGAGATCATCAAGGGGCTCTGATAGGGCCCCTCTATATGACCCTGCTATCTAGCCAGATGGTGACCCAGGGTCTGGTCTTTGAAGCTGTAGAAACAGGGTCTCACTATGTAGCTGAGCCTAGCTTTTTATTTGCAGCAATCCTCCTTCTCTACCTCTCAGGTGCTTCTCAGGTGCTGGGATTACAGATGTACATTACCACATCTGGCTAGAGCCTCCTCCTTCTGTGTTTGTTTTTGTTGTGGTTAGAGATAAGGTTTGGTGCATGTGCATGTGTTTGTGAAGGGTTGGGTCAGAAGGGGCTTAGAAGCCAAACACAAGAGAAAGATGTGTAACTTAGGCTGGCCTCAACCTGTGATCCTCCTGCCTCCACCTCTTCAGCATATCCTCCTGGCATGTGCCACCACAATTCACAGTTTGGGTTTTTTTTTTGAGACAAGGTCTCATTATGTAGGCCTGGCTGACCAGGAACTCACTATGTAGACCAGGTTGGCCTCAAAGAGAGATAAACTCACAGAGATTCACTGACCTCTGCCTCCCACGTGCTGGGATTAAAGGCATATGTGTCACCACACCCAGCCTAAGAGCCCTTTTTCATGCTGTAGCTCCTTTCTTACCCAGGGTGGCTCCTACAGCCTGCTTGAAGTTGCCTATTAGGAGGGGAACAGATCAGGGGCTAGGTTGCTCAGACTGCCTCTCCCTTCAGGGATGAGCATTTCAGGAGCTAATATTGGAGGAGAGGCCTTTGAGAAAAATGGGTGTCTGGCACAATACTCAGCCTCAGGCCCAGCATATCATGTTTGGAGTGGAGTTCTGGAGAGGTCCTAGGCTGCAGAATGACTTGAGGTCCCTGGGCCCACCCTGGAGTAGTAGGCAACTTCCTCAGCTGCCATGTTCTTATCAGCCCAAGCCTCATCAAGGTGCCCCTGGGGAGAGCTGTCTGTGGTCTCTACTCTCCCTAGAGGACTCACTGTAGGCCTAAAGGAGCATGATGGGCACAAGGGGCTCCTGGGAGGACTTCAGGCTTCCAGGTTGACAGTCCACAGATGGTGATGCTGGACTAAAAGGACTTGCCTCTTCTGCATATCCACTTACTGAAACCTGAGACCCAAATAGCCTCACAATTTTACCTCCAGCCCTGACCCCTTGCCTAGCCAGACCCCTGTACCTCATTCCTCCTCATATCCCGCCTCACCTGGGCAAAAGTGGGTCCCCTGCTTGCCTCATAGGCTTTCCTAGCTGCAGATATGAGTGCTGCCCACTACCCCAGTTGGGACACTCAGCACTATGGAAAAGCATCTCCAAGGTGTCATTCGTCACAGGGATTGTCATCGCTATCTGTGTCTCCTGGGATACCCCTTAAAGACAGATGGCATGATGGCTGAGTGGCTTCTGAGTGGTGCTGGAGGAATTAAAGAGAAATAGAAGTCCAAATAGCAAGGGGTGCAGTTGCCTGAGCCTGAGAGGCTTGCTAGGTCAGTGAGGGAGGTACAGCCCAAGAACTTAGTCCCAGGTATGATTGTGGTTGGTATTCCTTGTGAAGGAACTAGATTGGTGCCAGCACCTGGCTCCCCAGCCCCTGCATGATTGAGGTACAAATACTGGTGAAAAGGAGACCTTGCATCTCTCTCTCTCTCTCTCTTTTTTTGGTCTTTTTGAGACAGGGTCTCCCTGTAGCCCCAGCTGTCCTGGAACTTATTATGTAGACCAGGGTGGCCTTGAACTCACAAAGATCTGCCTGCCTCTGCCTCCCAAGTGCTGGGATTAAAGGAGTACACCACCACGCCTGGCAGCATCTCTTTTTTTTAAGTTAAGTTCCTCATCTGGAGTTTCATGGCTACGGATGATGGCTGTCCATCCTCCACAATCTGGCCTGATCCTAGAGGAAGGAGACAAAGAACCACCAGGAAGGTGGGAAGAAGGTCCTATACTCCTCCAAGCACCACACTGGCTGGAGCAGCAGTGGGAAAAGCAAGACTCAGAGAGGGATTTTCCTAAAGCTGCACAAAGCTACAACTGGACCCAAGATCCCAGGCTGTCTGACTCCCAATGCCCAGACCAGGTGCACGTCCATAGAGTCTTATTCCTCCACCTTCTACTTCATCTGGTCCCATGTCCTTCTGTAATTTGGCTAGTGGCCTCTGCATATAGCTCTCACCCAGCAGGGTTTCTGCTTTATCCCCACTGCCCTTCTAGGGACATGCCAATTACATGCCCACCAATGTCACGCTCCTCACAGACACCCGTCTAGGGACTCTTCCCTTGTCTTTGACATAATCATCTCTGTAAGCACCAGTTCAGGATGGAGGCCACCTGGATGCTAGGGCCTGGCTTGTAACCTGCCCTTACCAGCTCTTCCTGGTTGCTTGAGGGCAGGGAAAGGGTAACTAAAGCACATCAGGTTCAGTGTACAGTGACAGGCCCAGGGACTGGGGTGACAATCAGGGTAGCTGGAATTGGAGGGTGCAGTACAGGCGACATGTTCTGTGACAGCACTGTGACTCAGGCACATTCATATCTCTGCCACTTTGCACATGTCAAAGCAGCACTCTCTCCACCCCCAGCTGAGGCTGCTTCTGGGGGTGTACCAGGGGCTTTGGGATGGGAAAACCCTTGGCCCAGGAGACACATAGGCCTTGAGAGGTACTCAAGTTGATACTCTAGCAGACTGAGGCTCTGTGACCAAGCTAGAGGTAGTTTGCCATGAGGCACTAGGGAGTGGATGCTGAATGGGCTCTAGCTTGTCAGGTCTGCCCTATTCTGGAGAATATGAGCCCTTAAGGACTAGGCCTGGGGCCCCTGGGGTCTGGTTTGGATAGCTGCCAAATGAGGTCTTTGTGCACCCTCTGTAGTCAATCTGGCCATTGAACCATTGTTGGGGAAGGTTCAGGGCCACCCACTGGTCCCCCAGACCTTGTTTTCCTGCTACCCCAATCCTTCCCTGTACCAACCCTGAGAGGGACATCAGTGACTCCCACAGGTGAGGAGTTAGGGTCAAGGCAGTTTAGCAGTGTCAGTCAGCTGCTCTTTCCTTTGCCTCTGGAATATGCCTGCCTCAGCCTCTCAGAACTTCCTGGGTCTAGGTCCTTCCCACCTAGGGGCACTTACTTTCACTTCAGCAGTGGGAGTCAGGACCCATTCAGGTGTCAGGAAGTCAGTATGAGGGAGAAGGGACAAACATGTAGCCTGAGACCAAGGTCAGGGGCTGGAAAGCCAGATACTGAGGGAGGCAGGAACTGGGGCAGCTGAATCCTGCGGTCCCTCAGCACCATCCACTTTTACAACCTTGAATTTCCTTCCCATCCTCTCTGCCTTCTGGTCTTAGGCTGCTGTCCAGCACTTCATCAAAGTGATGGGCTGAGAGAGGGCCTGTGTACAGAGGGGCACCAGGGAGGCCTCAGGTGATTCTGGTCAATGGGCCCTGAGACAAGGTGGCAGTGAGAGGCCTCGGGGAGGGAGGCAGGTGAAGTGGCATCTGCCATCTGCTCCTTGGAGGTCAGTTGCTGGCTCAGGTTGGGAGGGGCTAGCAGGAGGGGCTGCTAGTCCAGATCCTCACCTCAACAGTGAGGCTTTCTTGGCTGGAATGATGGGTGGGGATGATCCCCCATCCACTGTGTCCCAGGACATGGAAGCCCTACCCAGCTCTCTCAGGGTGCCTACTCCCCACTCTGAAGCCCTCCAATTTTGTCAAGGCCTAGTCCCTCCTCTAGAACCAGAGACATTCCAGCCCACTCCCTCTATGTCTCCCTGTGGATGGCAGCTCTATACCAGCTCATGTCCAGAAGGTGTCCAGGGTCCCCAGGCCACAAACCCACATGGCTTCTCCCATTTAATTGTATCAACACCTGTCACATCAGCCCAAAGCTCACAAGGGTGGATGGAGTGGGGAGCTCCAGGAGCCCAGCCAAGGCGGCGTGGGGGCTGGCGGCCTGCAATTCCGCGTCCTCACAGACACTGTGCTTCCTCTGGGTTCGGTGGCACCAACCTACAGCCTGGCTGCTTCGCGGGTGGCAAGCGGGCCGCGATCAAGCCCGCAGCTGGGGCGAGGGACTGCGGAGGGCTCCCAGGCCCAGTGTCGGGAGGGTAGGATGGGGAAGGGGCTGCCTTTACGTAAGCCCTGGCTAGGCAGCGGCGGCGCAGTCCCAAGCCCCCACCCCGCCCCCTCCTCATTGTATGTAGCCCTGACCGCGGTGTCCAGGCCTGGTCCCCTCCGGCTCCGCAGCCTGGCGGCGCGCACACACCTTACCTCGGCCCGGGCTCCTGGCTCATGCTACGCTGTCCGCCGGGGGACCTCGCGTCATCGGGAGCCCAGCACCAGCGCGGCTGAGCACCGAGGCGGCCGAGGTGCTGGACTGGTTAGCAGGCCCGACACCCCCGGGTGCCCCGCGCCCCAGGGCCCTCTTGGCCGCAACCGGAGCGGAGCTCCCCGGTGGGAGAGGATCTGCTGCCCTGAGCCTCCCACCGGGGAGGCTGAGGCTGTGCCTAGATAAATAAGGCCGCTTTGCAGGGAGCCAGGCGGGCGCCTCCTCCCTCCCTTTGCCCTCCTCCCGGTGCTCCTCCTCCGCGCTCCTCCGCGGCCGCCGCCGGCGCCGCGCGCGGCCCCCTCCTGGCCCAAAGCGCCGCGCCCTCGCGCGCTCCCGATGTCCAGACCAATCCAGGCTCCAGCCGAATTGAGGTGCGGAGACTCCCGAGCCCCGCCCACCTCCGCGCAGCGCGCTCTCGGTGCAGCACCGACGGGCACGCGCCAGGCCCCGAGCACACCAGCACCTCTTTGGGCGCCGGCGCTCGCACAATAACAACCCCTGGTGGCAGCGCGTCGGGGACAACACTCCAGGGGAGGGCAGGGCGCGCAGCTGGAGAGCAGCTGTGGGTGGCCCACCTGCGCAAAGCGGTGGCGACCCAGAATCCTGAGAGGTGAAGAGAACTGCAGCCCTTGACGTGAGCGGTTGGCAGTGGGGTTTGGGGTTCTACCGGGATACAGCCGGCCCTGCGCGTCGTTCCTCTCTGTCTGCCACCTGCGGGGGCGAGGAAAGGGAAGCCCGGCGGAGGAATCGGCACCGTCGGACCTCCATACACACACCAGTCCTCCTGGTCCTCAAATCGCCTGCGTTTCTGCTGCGGAAGAATTCCCCTTCGTGGCGACATAGTCGCACATCTGCAGAAACCTGCAAACAAATGACTAAACAGATCATTTGAGTGTGGCAGTGAAAGCACAAGAGGTTGTAGTTAATGGTAACCAGGAGGGAGGGGGGTGGGTTCCTGAGACTGTCACAAAAGAGCTAAGACTCCCAAGGGTGAAAGGCAGGAGGTAGGAATGGTTCAGAAAGGGACATGCAAAGGTCCTAAGGCCTTAAGAATGGAATAGAGGTCAGGTCCGGTGGGAGCCAGTCTGGCCCAGGGCAGGTGGTCTGTGTGCAAGACTCTGTCAGGGCTGCTGGAGAGCCAAACCTCCCAACAAGCTCAGGGGAAGAAGATGGAGGCTAATGGGACCCCATCTTGGGGTCTCGTGGGACCAGGAACAGCAGAGGAACCAGATGTGGGGACAGCAGAGCAGGGCCTTGTAATAAGGGAGAAGCGTCAGGGTGAAGTGTCCTCAAATGAGACCAGATGGTGTTGGGAAGCAGAGCCCCATGGAACTGATGTGAGATCTAGGGGTAATAGGGAGGGGAAGTAAGCTGGATTCTGGCTGTTTTTGTGTGTGTTTATGTGCGTGTGCACGTGCCTGTGAGAGCCAGAAGAAAACCTCAGGTGTTGTTCTTTAGGTACTGTGTGCCTTTGGAGGCAGCTGAATGAGTAAGCGTGTGTGTGTGTGTGTGTGTGTGTGTGTGTGTGTGTGTTTGTGTGTGTGCATGGTACCAATATCTGTGCATGTGCGCGCGTGTGTGTGTGTGTGTGTGTGTGTGTGTGTGTGTGTAGGCCTGAGGTTGATGTTGGATGTTCTCCTTTACCACTTTGTACCTTACTTTATTTTATTTTGGGTCTCCCTTTAGCCCCAGCTGGCCTGGAACTCCCTATGTAGACTAGACTGACCTTGAACTCACAGAGATCTGCCTGTCTCTGCCTCCCAAGTGCTAGGACTAAAGGCATGACCCACCATGCCCAGCCTTTCTTTCTTTCTTTCTTTCTTTCTTTCTTTCTTTCTTTCTTTCTTTTTCTTTTCTTTCTTTCTTTCTCTCTATTTCTCCCTCCCTTTCTTTCTTTCTTTCTTTCTTTCTTTCTTTCTTTCTTTCTTTCTTTCTTTCTTTCTTTCTTTCTTTCGACAGGGTCTTTCATCGAACCTGGAACTCACTGTTTAGACTTGCTGGCCAACAGACCCCCAGGAGCCTCCTGTCCCAACCCCCACCCCACACCCAGGACAGGGGTTATAGGTGCACTGCCAGGTATATCTTATTAATGTGGGTGTTGGAGATCCAAACTCAGGTCCACTTGCTTGTACAGCAGGCACTTTATTCAATGAGCTATCTCTCTAGCCCATCATCTATTCTTTTCCTTTTTCTTTCTTGATCTCTCTTCTCTCTCTCTCTCTCTCTCTCTCTCTCTCTCTCTCTCTCCTCTCTTCTTTTGAGACAGGGTCTCCCTGTAGCCTTTGCTGGTCTGGAACTCACTATGTAGACCAGACTGGCCTTGAATTTAGAGCTCTGCTTGACTCTGCTTCCCAAGTACTGGGATTAAAGGCATGCATCACCATGCCCGACTCAGGTCCAGATTTTTAAAATTTTGTTTTCGATTTATTTATAAGTGTATGAGTATTTCGTCTGCATGTATATAAGGGCACCTCATGTTTACAATGCCCATGGAGGCCAGAAGAGGGTGTCAGATCCCCTGGAATGGAAGTTATGGGCAGTTCTTAGCTCTCATGTAGGTGAGATTCTCTGGAAGGGCAGTAAGTCCTCTTAACTACTGAGCACTCTCTCCAGCTCCCAGGTCCATAGGTTCTGTGGATCGAACTCAGGACCTCATGCTTGCAAGGCACTTTACTGACTGAGATATCTCCCCAGGTCCATGAGTGGTTTTTAACTTTTTTTTTAACAGGGTCTCCCTATAGCCCCAGCTGACCTGGAACTCACTATGTAGACCAGGCTGGCCTAGAACTCACAGAGATCTGCTTGTCTCTGCCTCCCAAGTGCTGGGACTAAAAACATGCATCACCACACCTGGCTCTGACTGTTTTTTGATAGGGTTGGGTGGAGCACTGACTTATAGTGGGGGTCTTGGGTCCAACTTGCCACAGCCAAGATTAGGGCAGCAGTCTGTGTGACTGAGACTTGAGGGTTACCATCTTGCCTGGACATGGATTAAAGAAGGCAGGTTGGCATGGGACAGAGAGTAGTGCAGACATGGAGCAATGAGAAGGTGTCTTTTTCACTCATCTAGTTACTGTCTGGAGACAGGTGGCTGGTGAGTGGTAGGATGGGGCCTCAGGCAGATGGTACTGTGCTGGAATATGTGCCTTGGCTTGAGGCAGATGAACACACCCAAATGTGAAGGTGGGTCTGGGGGAGGCCTGGGTACACAGTGGCCCTGAAAGGGGCCCCAGGAAACAGCCCTGCATTTGAAGAATCTGAGCAATGAGGATGCTCAGAAGGGTATCATTGAACATTGACTTGGGAGACCTTTTCTGTGTCCTCACACCAAAGGACCCACCTGCTTCCCTCTACCTCTGCCATCCTCCCCAGACCAGTCACCTGTCTCTCTCCTTTGTGGGGCCAGTAGATTCCTTCTCACTGGTCTCTCCATCCTTCTCCCTGTACCTGTTCTCCCCAAGGTTTACAGTGGTCATTTGACACACAGTAATGATCTATCTCTCCCAGGGTTCTATCTTCTCTATTGTGGTCTATAAGACCATGGTATATGGGCTCTATACCAGGCCACACCCCTCACCTGCAGTACCCCTCTCACCTGACTCCTCATATGGAGTACTCTCTTATCACCTTCCCTGAATGGTTCTGTTTGCCTTGCAGACCTTGGCAAATGTCTTCCCTAAGAACTTTAATTTCCATCTCTACCCATAACATCAAGCACCTCCTCTTCTCAGCATGAGTTCACTGTCTCTCTGATGGTATAATCGCAGTGGACTGTTGACTGGTAACACCCCTAAAAGACAAGGGTGGAGTTTCCTGGGCACCCAGCACAGCACAGGGGAGGCACACATTTGTGGTGTCTGGGGGAACAGAGAAACTTGAGAGGTTGCCAGAACTGGCTTTTGGACCACCTTCCATGGAGGATGCCCCCCTCCCCTAAGAAGGTGCCTTTGGGTAAAAGCTTATAGAGAAATATCTCAGACAAGGTCTGACTGGCTGCACAGTGGGCCTTTAGTTTCCTCTGGAAAGATTCAACTAGGATGTTCCCTTCCCAGTTCAGTCTCCAGAGACTGATATGGGAGCATCTGTGAACTTGATTCCTGAGGGCACATGGGGCATCTCTCACTTGAGCACCCCTCAACTTAAGTACCCTCAAGGACCCCTCAATTGGAGCACCCTCAACAGGAACACTCTTGACCTGAACCACACTTAATTGGAGCACTTTCAACTGAAGTATCTTCTCACCTAGAGCATTCCTCACCTGGAGCATCATTACCCAGAGCACTCTTACTAGGGGCACCCCTCACCTGAAATTTTTCTCACCTGGAGCACTCCTTACATGGAGCATCCTCATCTGGATTACTCCTCACCTGGAGCACCCTCAATGGGAACACTTATTACCTGGAACCCTTCATCACCTGGAGCACCTCTCTCACAACACCCCTCACTTGAAGCACTCTCATCTCCACCCCCTCTTCACCCTTAGCACCTCTGACTTGATGCACAGAGGACTGTCCCCAGTCCAGGATGCTGGTGTCTAGCTCTGTAGTCATAGAGGAGCTGAGGACCATGGCCATGTAACTCAGAGATGGAGGATTGGGAGGGCATGGTCACATCAGGGGATGAAGGTCATCCCACCTAGGGCCTAGGCCTAGGCCTACAACAATGGCTCTGCATCTTCCCTGATTGTCACAGGAGGTCCCCTGACATTCTTGGGAGGCTCAAGGGTGGAGAGTGTTCTGGAGACACATGACTGGGTCAGATCCTCCCCAGGTGATGCCCTAAGTAGTTCCCCTCACTGAACCCCTCCTGAGGGTCTTAGCACAGTACTGGTGCTGTGCACCCCCTCAAGAGCAAAGTGAGTCACCCTGGGGCCAGATGGGCACTCTTCTCTAACCCCCTCTGCCCTCTTTTCATGCCTCTCCTGTTTACTCCTCTGTGCCCCTTCCCCCTCTTCCCTTTACCTCCTCTACCCCTGAGTCTCCTTTTTTACCCCCATACTATTCTTGCCAAGAGACAAGAGGCTGAAGAGCACTGGAGAGAAGCAGGTGGGACCCCAAGCTGCTGGTGTCTGGCTGTCCTGATGACAGGGTGAGGGCACTGAGGTTCTCTGCTGGCCTCAACTATGGCCTGGCCCACCCCCTGTCAAGGCTGAGGATGACTCAGGGCCCAGCTGTCACCTCAGCAACACGCCTTGCCTAGTGATGGCGGTCTCCCAGCAACGGTTGTCTCCTAGCAATGGGATATTTTCCCTGGCCCTGGCTAGA